AAACTCCAGCTCTTTTACTTTACTTACATGGTTGGCACTGTTTGGCATTATTTTGACTATTTTGTAAGAATCTCCTGCTCTGCCCGGCTGGTGTTGCTCAGTGGTTGAGCATCAACCCATGAACCAAGAGTTTACTGGTTTGATTCCCGGTCAGGGAACATGCCCAGGTTGCAGGCCTGATCCCCCATAGGGAGCATGCAGGAGGCAGCTGATCATTGTTTCTCAGTGTTCCTACCTCTCTATCCTGCTTCCTTCCTCTCTAAAAATCAATAAAAACATTTTTAAAAATCTGTATTTAAAAAAAAAGGGCTCTCCTGCGCTGAGCTCTTAATTAGCTATCGTAGGCACATCATTTATCTGAAAATTAAAATGCTGATAGTTTTTTGCATACGTCCCTTATGTGCTGTTTCTTATATATAAGAACATAATAAGCCTATAAATGTTGAATGAATGGGTAAATGGATTTGAGTTATAGAAATGTTGAATAAACTGATTTTGTGCATTTATCATGTGTCCTCATAGAGCTTATTGTCTAATAAGGTTGCATACACACAGATAATTACAGTTCAGTGTATTATGTGCTACAGTGGAAAGATAGTCAGGGAATCATACGAGCAAGTCCATCTGGTGGTTTCAGGGAAAACGTCTTAGAGGTGGTGGTCTTTGAGCTAAGCCTGGAAGGAAGAGGAGGGGTTTGCTACGTAGACACTAGGGAGGTACATTTTAGACCAATAGAATGTCAATTGTAGGGACTACTGAGACAAAAAGATTGAATATTGAGTTCTTTTTAAAAACACACACAACTTAAAGTAGTTTTACAGCATTAGCTGAATTTTAGAAACTACACAGGTATGAGCAAGATAATTTCAGTCTCTCCAGTGTGACTATAATAATATAAATACTCTTCATATGGTTCCTGATTTTCAAAGGGACCTTTCTAAGCTTTCTTGGACAGATAGCATATGTTATGACACATTCCACGCCTTTTGAAGCCAGGGGAAAGAAAGTTTTACAGCTATTAATAGCTTCTGTTTATTGAATACCTACTGTATACCAAAAATTTTACACATACTGTCCTCTTCTCCTTATAAAAACTCTGTGAGATAGGCATCATTTATCCTTAGTCCCAGAAGAGGAAACTGAGGAAGAGTTAGTGAGAGACTTGCCACATAGTTAAATAAGTGGCAGAAATGGAATAAGAGCCCAGGGCTGTCTGCTTCTTAAGCATGTTTTTTCCACTAAAAACAACCTTAGCAATACCCTGGGGTTTGGCTATTGAGATTTTACAGGAGAATAGGCTTGCAAAAAAACAGCTGAGAGTAGTAGAAGATAAGATCCAATCTATAAAAGGGGCAAGAAGTTGCATCTTTGAAGGTCTGATGCTGTTTGGCCTGGAGGGTGATCAGGAGCCCTTCGGAGTTTTCATGGCTGAGTGCCACGTGCACTGGCAGGCTCCTGCACCAGGGAGCGCTGTGCCAGAGGCTTGTTGAAGAAAAGCAATGTATGGACGAAGGAAAGAATACTTGGCATTTAGGAAACTTAGAATAGTGTAGACATAAAATTGCAAAGTCATAGATAGGCAAAACATCTCTATGGGGTCAAAGTTCAAGAGGTGAAATTCAGTGTTGCAAAAAAGAAATGGTCTTGGCACAGAATTTGCCTCTTACGCTTGTGATATTTCATGTTCTCAGATGTGAGGTTGGTGAGCATTTGTGGTGAGTGAAGAGCGGTGCTCTGAGTGCACAGGCCTAGGGAAGGCTGGGGAGCACTGGTACAGGAAGCACTCTTCCCTCAAAATAGCAAAGGGCCTGCCCAACAATGCCAGTCTGCGACTTCGGATCTGATTCCTGCCTGTGTATGTGCTTTATCAACATATGTCAGATTGCTGGACTAGACATTTTGGAAGGCAGAAGTGAATGCCCTCTCTTGAAGCACCCACTTTTCCATTTTTGCTGTAGTGAGGATGAAGCCCAATGGAGTCTTTTGAGACCTGCTTGGAGTTGACTGCCAGCCGGAACTCTCCAGAGCCTTCACTCTTTTTTGTTGTGCCTTGGTGGCTTTTCCATGTTGGTGGTACCAGTTTGACATTTTTAAGGATTATTTACTATAATTTTCTGCCTATAGTCCTATAAAATTATAAGCCTATACAGCAGTTTCCCTTCATTCAATCTATGGGACAGTAAACATCCCTCCTTTTAGCCTGCTCTCTAAGCGCTCTTCAGCTCATTTGAATGAAGAATCGACTTTCATAAAGAGGAAGGTTGGTGAGTCACTTTCTGCAGAGACCTCGATGCCAGCTTTCTTTCACCTTGCCTTTTGCTCCAGTTAAATGCTTAGCTTGTCATTCTGACGCAGTTTTTCTGCAGAGTTCAGCTTTGATACTTTCTGAGCAGCAGCATTTAATATCTCCCTGGAGATAAAAGCTTTTTACTCTTTTCCCTTTTAAGGCAGATGTCACTGGGTAACAGAATTCACTATTTTTGTCCCCTTTTGCCCTTGTTTTTAATACTGTTGTCACTTGAACCTTTTCCACTCTTGGCTTACCCCCAATTTTTGCCCCATCCTTCAGGGAAGTAATAGTCTGTTATGAAATATTCACAGCCTAGCTGTGAACTGGGGTCTGTGAGCACTGAACACATAAATAGAGAGTTTACTGACTTAATACTTTTGGTCCTGCATCTCAGAGTTCAGTATACCTAGGTAAAAAGATAGCCCTATAGGAGGGTATAGTAAATTGTGGTAGAGACAAGTATTTACTACAAACTAAAAAGCTTTCTGAAAAAACCGTATGTATTTGCAAGAATCAAAGAGAGGGGCTTTTTTCTAATGATGCTTAGCATCTGCAATAGATGATGTAAATACCCCTTTCTCTCTAGTCACTCGGGTTTTTCTTCTCGGACTCAGATTTCCAGAATTAGTTAAGGAGAAGGCAGGTCAAGGTTAGTAGTACTGCCTCCAGCTGGCAGGCAGGAGAGGACTGTGCAAAAACTTACCTCTCTGGGGTCCCAAAGAACTCCATTTAGGAAATGTGTTGTTAAACAGTAATTAAAATCCAGAGAAGACATATATTTCTGTTTTGAAAATAAGACCATCTATTTTTTTCTGCAACCCAAAAGGTTATTTGTAAAGAATACAAAATGTGCCCTAGCTGTTTTGGCTCAGTGGTTAGAGCATTGGCCCGCATGGACCTCGGTTGCAGGCTCAATTCCTTACCCGGGTCTAGGGCGAGTATGGGAGGCAACTTTTTGATGTGTCTCTCTCACATCGATGTTTCTCTCTCTCTCTTTCTCTCCCCTACTCTCTCTGAATGAAAAGCAATGGAAAAATATCCTAGGGTGAGGATTTAAAAAAAAAGAAAAAAGAATACAAGATATAAATGTCTGTAATGAATTTGGTCTGGGTCAGCACCTCTGTTCCTGAATAGTTTCAGTTGTTGTAGTTTGACAGAAAGAAGTGAGCTTTCCCAAAAGGCGACACACAATTGAATATGAGTCCTTCCTTAAGGTACCCCCTCCCTCTTGTTCGTCCCCCTAGTGTTTCTAGTGTTATGGGCTTGGTTTCTAATCTGATTTTGCTGTGCAAGCTGCGAAAATGTCAGGTTTTTCGGAATGTTCTGCCTTGATTATCCTTTAAGCAACGCTGATTGCAGGAAATTGCTGTGTTGCAAGGCGGTGTCACAACACAGTGATTAGAACCCATGGGTGTCATTCACTGCCTGGTTGAAGTAATCACGCAGAGGGAAAGAGCAGATGAAATACCTCCCAAATGTGCAGAGGGGGCTGTTTCTCATCATTTGGGTTTAAGGATTTTGAGTTAAAGAATCAGAGCTAGTGTAAGGCTTGTGTTTTTAGTCACTTTGTTTCATTCTGAATCTTCAAAACTTCTGAGCAGGTCTGGGTCTCTGAACATTGTTTTCCTAAGGTTTTGCTATTTACCAAACACAAGGTCTCCTGTATACATGACTATAAAATAGTGGTTGAGCATATCAAGGGGAAAGATACTAGAAAGTAAGTGGGATGAACAGGTGGGAGGGAAATGGGAAAGGCCCCAGTAGCTCAATTCTACAACACTGCCCCTCCCCACCCCCTTCAGATGCCAATGGAAAGTCCAGGTTGTCACCTGTGCTTCTGACCCATCAGCTATAGATTGGAAGTCCCAACAGCCCCCTTGTTGGATTCATTTAATTGGCTAGAGCAGCTCATAGGACTCAGAGAAACAACATTTACTTAGGTTTCCCAGTTTATTGTAAAGGATACAAGTGAATAGCCAGATTGCAGAGGTAAGGCAAGGTATGTGGGAACCCGCTTGGAGCTCTCCCCGCACCATGTGTTCACTAACCTTTTGGATTTTTATGGATGCTTCATTACGTAGGCTTGATTGATTAAATCATTGGCCATTGGTGATTGAACTTTATTGCCAGCCCCTCTCCCCTCCCCTGAGATCAGAGTTCAGGGGTAGGATTGAAAATTCTGACCTTCTAATCACAAGCTTGGTTCCCCTGGCAACCAGCCCCCAACGTTAGGTTATCCTGAGGCTGTCCTAAGGTCTCCTAATTAACATAACAAAGGACACTTTTATCATTCTCATCACGTAGGAAATTCCAAGGGTTTAGGAGCTCTGTACCCAGAATGGGGATGAAGACATATTTCTTATTATAAATCACAATGTCACGACTAACCTATTTAAATTATTTGGTTGTCCTGAAAAAGTATTAGTCCCATTTGGACATGGCTGTCTGAACTAGATATAGTGGTCAGTATAGAAAATATAGCTTAAAACTTGATTTCTGTCCAAATCATGATCACTCCCATTGTCTTCCAGTCTTCTGCTCTTGTGCTTCACGTGTCTGGCTGAGCCTTGCAAGAGGGGGCCTGCGGACTCTCTTAACTTGGGACATTGAATCATCAGCATCACTCAAACGAAGGGCATTACAAGTCAAAAACTGTAATAGGTACCCAAGGCATCCACTAATGATTTTTTTACCCCTTTGTCTCCCTCAGGTACAGAACCCTGGCATTTCTATTTAATTAATGGATTTCTGAATTTTAATGTAGTCTTTGCTTTGGCTCTCCTGGTCTTACCACTGACTTCTCTTATGGAATACCTACTGCAGAGATTTCATGGTGAGTGGCGCAATCGATGGTAGGTTTTTGGGGAGGAAAGAGCAAGTAGCAGTGTATACCAAGAAATGAAAAAGAATCTGCGTATTCATTCTCCATTTTCTCCCTATGGAAATGGTTGGTTTATTGAGTTTTTGATCTATATGTGTCGATTATTAGACCCTATGAAGATTTGGTGAATAATTGCAAGTTAAACTGACAGGGAGGAGCTTTATATCCCTTAAAGTGAGGAAGTCATTATAATTTACAGAACCACCCAGGGAGGCAGAAACACTTATAAAATCTCAGAACTGAGTCTTCTGTGTTTGAAAAAAGTATATGTTAACATGGTAGATTGCTTAAGATAATCAATGCTAGAGGCAGACATTGTTTGGGAGATTACTTCCACCCCAAATCTGAAAGCTAAACCCTATAGGAATTCCCCCAAATTGGGTACTTAAGTGAGAGAAGCTTTAGACTTCTTAAGAAGTGTGATGTTTCTCTTTGTTTCGTTTTGCTTCCTGTGCCTTGTGAGAGGTTTAGGTCATTTGTTTTGCTCGCTTTGCTTCTGTGTTGCACAGCCAGTGTTCTCTCAAGTTGTCATGGCTTTCGATACCTGGTGCCCATAGTTTCTTTTATGGAAGACAGATTTGAGCAGAAATTCATATGAGATTTGAAAAGAGGTTTTATTTCAACTTTTCAGTCTGATTTGGATGCTATGTTCTTGCTCCCTCTCACCTTTTATTCTGCTTTTCTACTATTAATGGTTTATTGAGAGTTCACTGTATTATAATAGTATAGGAAAGCAGCCTTCAGAGTCACTTTTGTGAGGACTTTTTTGTTTTGACATAACCATAATGCCATTATTCTAAAAAAATTAAGTCATTCCTTAATATCATCTTATATCAAGTTGATATTCAGATTTTCTTCATTGTCTGAAAAATAATTTTTTACAGTTTGTTTAAAGCAGGAGCTAAACAGAGGTCATATGCTGAATTTGGTGTTATGTTTCTTAAGCTTTTTAAGAGGTTCCCCATTCTCACCTCTTTTCTCCTGAAGATTTCTAAGGAAACTAGGTCATTTATCTTGCAATGTCCCACATCAGGATTCTTTTTCTGACTATAGAAATAATTTCTGCTTGTGGAAAATTTAGAAATGCTTGTAATGTAAGTATAAAAACAGTACATTAAGCTGTTTTCCACAGTATGAAGCCAGTTTTAGTTTTAAAATGTATAATGCATACATATGTCCACCTGGTAAGAAAATAAGTGCTTTCTGTTTTTATTTATACTTTCTTGTGTATTTTATAATAGGAACAAACTTTTTTAAAAGAAAAAAACAGAAAAATATAAAGAAGTAGGAAAGAAAAGACCTATTTATCCCATTATGTAGTACAACTGTGGTTATGATTTTGTATGTTATGTAGAAAGGCATTTCAAAACTTTAGGCTATATTTAAAAATATATTTGTTAGTCTTTGAGATACAGAAGAGAAAAAGATTGTTTACTTGTACTTCTTTTCTTTCAATTAAGAAAATTCCAACCTAAAATACTTCCTGGGAAGGGATAAGTTTTAAAAGCCTGAAATCTCATGATACAGTTGTATAGTGGAAAGTTTAAAAGATCAGCTGTTATTTCAGTCCAAGAATTTTTATCCCTCAAGAGTGTCTTCAAAAATACAGACAACTTAGAAACACTAAATTAGGCATCCTAAGGTGGATAATTGTTTTTAAATTTAAAATAATCAAATTAAAAAATTTTTCTTTTTAAGTTGGAGCTTGGTAACTTGTTTTATTTGAATTTGAGCATTGTAGACGTAATGGACACCAGGGGGCGCTCTCTACCAACCATTTGCCTGCGATCCTATGCCCTGCTCATTATCACTGATATAAGCACAGTGGGGGATGCCTTCATTGTAGGCTGCAGGCTTAGCACTTAGTGTTCATGTACCTAACCACAGCAACTTTCCAGAAGGTGCTTGGTCTTTGTGTTCATTAAATTCCTTTAATTCTTTCACATGCTTTAAGTACATTTTGGTTCCAATTTGGGGGTTCAGAGTGGATAGGTATTTTTAGAAGAGAAAAGAAAACTTGATCAGTAAACTTCCTTTAAGAGTGTTTTTATATATTTGCTTTGAAACAAACTCTGTCATTTGTGATTTGACAAAAACTAGTGATGGGTTTGAGAATCCAGCTGTTTTTCTTTCCTTTGATCTGTAGCTATTTGAACAGACTGATTGGTGTATAATAAGAAGATTAATGTATTAAACAGAACATAGGAATTAAAACCCAAGAAATGAGTTTATGTTATGCTGGTTAATTTCAGGAACCTTAAGTCTTAGTGGCAGGACTCATTAGAGAGAGAAGCCTTTTTTTTCTTCATTCAGTGTAGAAATGAAGCTCTATTGCCCGTTCACCTGACTTTCATTTGTTTTAGCCACATCCAGTATTGTGCCTCCCTTTCGATGTTGGATCTCTTGGGAGAGCTAAGTATATACCTCTTTGTACTTGACTCCTTTATTGCATTAGAGAAAGTGTGAATACAAGAACTGAAACAATTTATGGGGTGCCCTAGGGCATGTTTTCATGTTCAAGGTCAAGAGAACATTGAAACTCAATATCTTGTTTTCTAATATGGTGAAAGGTGGATATTTTTCTGTGTCTTACAGTTCAGAATTTAGGCCACCCATACTGGCTTACCTTGGCTCCAATGTATATTTGGTTTATAATTTTCTTCATCCAGCCTCACAAAGAAGAGCGATTTCTTTTCCCTGTATATCCACTTATTTGTCTCTGTGGCGCTGTGGCCCTTTCTGCACTTCAGGTGAGTTTCAGGGAAATGGATATCTTCTTAATTCTGTTTCACTGTTTAAATTGTTCCTAAAGCTTAAAGGCAAATTACAGAGTGGCTCCACCGAAGATGTTTTATTCATACATTAAACCTGATACAGGTCATATTATTAAAGTTTTATGTAGTGACTGCTTAACTGTTGATTGTACTCTTTTTTGCTGATTACATATTTGCAATGTTAATTTGTGAGTTATTTGTCTCTGTTGCCAACAAGAATCCAAGTATTTTTAAGTCACTGTATGGACCTCCCACAGAATGGCGGCACCCCAGCAGAGCTAATGGAATGTCTGCTCTGCTCTTCAGTGATAAAGTCAGAATAAAACTTTCACAACTGTTTGGGATAACATCAAGCAGTTAGCAAAATGGGACACTTTGTAATCCTGGCTTAAAACCTGTCTAGGTCAGCTCCCTGTTAGATTTAATCTTGAATATCTCTGTATTTATGGCCTCAGAAGCCTCCAGACTCTTTTTTGACCTCCACTACCATTTGCAGGTGGCAGGAAAGAATAATTAGGGTAATAGGTTTTCTCTTTAACAGATTTATGGAGATATAATTCACAAACCATACAATTTACCCATTTAAAGTGTACAATTCAGTGGTTTTTAGTATACTCACAGGTATATGCAACCATCACCACAGTCCGTATTAGAACATTTTCATCACCTCAGGAACTGTACTCTTCAGCTGTCTTCCTCCCTTTCCCATATCTCCCCAGCCATAGCTACCACTAATCTACTTTGTGTCTCTGTAGAGTGGCCTACTCTGGACATTTCATATAAATGGAATCATACAGTATGTGTCTTTTGTGACTAGCTTCTTTCACTTAACATAATGTTGTTAAGGTCCATTCATATTAGGATGGTAGCTTTAAATAATTTTAATTATAAAAGTAATTGAACTTCATTGAAGGTAATTTTTCTTTTATGACTTTCTATATTAGTCTACTACCCTAACAAAACACCTTCCAGCATTTTTGCCTATCACATATCAAAGTATATTGTGGTTGTAATCTAAGTGTGCATATAACTTTATATTCCTTTTAATATAATTACATATATCATAACATTCTCTATGTTGCCATATCTATACCAGTCATTTTAATAGCAGTATAATGTTCTGAATTGGCTATAATATATAACATTATGTAATTTATAATCTATTATATAACATTGAATTGATTCTGTATATTATAATGATTAGATATAATATATGTTAGAGTTCAGGTTGCTCACTTATTTCAGCATTATAAAAAGTGCTAAGATAAATATCTTCATTTAGGTATTTGGATTATTTCCTTAGGACAGATTTCCCAAAATATGAAAGAGTTCAAATATATTTATGGTGCTTGTTATGTATAGCAAAATTGCTTTCCAAAAGTAGCTCTAGTCTGGGAGGGAAAGAAGGAAGGAAAGAAATCTAATGGGATGGTACTCAAAGATTATACAATTAATTCATTCATGTATAAATATATTGTAATAATGTTCATCTAGTTTGTATAGTAGTTTATCAGATAATTAATAGTATTTTCCTAATGTTTTATGAAAGAAATTATTTTTCCTTCTTGTTTGATCATGACATTTTGTTGATACTGAAAACTTTGATGAAAACTTGTCAGTAAGAAAAGTAAAGATTAATACTCATTATGTCAAAATAGATTGATACTTCAAATAGCAAAAAACTACCAAGAAGCATTTTATTTAAACTTAAAAAAAAATAAATTATAACTATTTTAAGCACTAGAGAAATATCCTAATGATTTTCCTATGAAGCTTCCTATGAAGGTTTCTCGGGAAACCTTCTGGCCAGGCTGACCTTAAGATTGTCTGAATCTTAGAATTTGAAGTGGGTACCTCACTAAGTGTTTGCAAATGCTCAGACCCTTGATAGAACCTCTTCTGCTGCTTTTTCCGTCTTTTACTATGTCGTCTTCTGATTATGTATATTCTGCAAGGTATGTCTTTTTTTTAATACAGTTTTCTTTCCTTCTAGAAATGTTACCACTTCGTGTTTCAGCGGTACCGCCTGGAGCATTATACTGTGACCTCAAATTGGCTGGCGTTAGGAGCACTCTTACTCTTTGGACTCCTGTCCTTTTCTCGCTCTGTGGCACTGTTCAGAGGTAGGTGTACTGAGAGTGTCTTAGCCCCTACTCGTGAGCCACCCCACCTTGGGCTTTGCTCAGTGTATGATTGTGTAGTACAACTTAGTTTAAGCTAGGAGGAGGGCTTTTCTGTAGGGCCACCTGTGGACTTAACATCAAGACTGGAATGTGTAACTTGTATTTTAGGATTGAAGAGAAGATTGACAATTCCTTTTAGTGTGATTAACTAATTTTTTTTCTCTATTCTTGTTGACACTTTTTCCTTGTAAAGGATGAATTAAGGAAGTTTTAAACCTAGGATTCAGATTTGGGGCTCAATTCCTGTGATTATATGTTTTCTTACAATCTTTAATTTCACATAGAATACAGTGGGGCATTAACATGCATTGTAATTAAATGTCAGAATCACATGTTACCTACTGATGTTTGGCTCTCACAAACCTATTTTCCTTTCAGGGTATCATGGACCCCTTGATTTGTATCCAGAATTTTACCGAATTGCTACAGACCCAACCATCCACACTGTCCCAGAAGGCCGAGCTGTTAATGTCTGTGTAGGAAAAGAGTGGTATCGATTTCCTAGCAGCTTTCTTTTACCTGATAAGTAAGTTGTCCTTTAATCCCAGAGTTTTAAATCAAGGAGTAAAATAGCAATTTTATGGCAATGTCTTCATTTTCCTTTCTTTTTGGATTTTTCACAGAAAAATGTTTTAATTTCCATCTCAGAGAGCTGTGGGATCTGCACTGTGCGCCCATTGCCTATGTTCAGTGGACCGAATGCTGTGTCTTGTTATGCATCCTGCACTGCCCTTAACCACAGAGCTCTGGGGAATTCTAAAACCACTCTGGGCCCTGGGCTCCTGCTAGTGGCTCTTCCTGAGGATTCATATTTTAATTTCTGTAGTGATCTGATATTAATTTACTTCTAAAAGTGTTGTAGAAACTTTAGCAAGAAGAGTGTTTTTAAAGGAATGTTTGTCATCTAATAAGAGTGGAAGTTTTCTACCAATGTGTGGACACTAAGGGGAGCTGTGGTTAAGAGCTCTGTGCCACTTTGCTTTAAGCTGTTGTTGGATGTGATAGCATAGGTTCTGGAGTTCCTTGTATTTACTTAATTTGGATAGAGAAGAGCCCTATTTCGGGGAAAGGAAGGCAGGGTAAGAGTCATGTTGCTCCATTTGGGGACTGGCTTCAACAGAATAGCTGTGGTGGTATCTTGTGCTTGATAAAGATCGTGTATCAGTTGTTAATGATTAAGTTAAAACTTGTTTTTTAAGTGTTAACTTTGCCTTTTCCATTTGAAACAGTTTCATAGCTAAAAATACTTTTGAGGATTACTTAGGAACAAAGTTCTCCCATAGTGAGTTCTTACATTTCACTCTTTTCTCTATAGACCTGATGAATTTGCTTTAATCTGGATAAGTGATAATTGACAATAAATTAATGCTTCTCTGGTTGTTTGATGATATGACCATTTGGTTACCTATTTGTTGCTGAGAGTTGGTGAAATTGGTTGAGAGACCTCTAGTTTAACATTTCTCAACGAGTTTGGACTAAATTGTGACCTCTGCCTCTATGCTCCCGGGTTGAGGTTTTAGTAGAAACATTTTTTCTCCAAGTGAAATTAAATGTTTTTCACATGATTTTTATTTTTGGCTTGTTTATTTCAAGTACATTTAGCAATATGAGCCCCCTGTGTTTTTCTTATTCTTATTTGTGTTTCTGACAGTTGGCAGCTTCAGTTCATTCCGTCAGAGTTCAGGGGCCAGTTACCAAAACCTTTTGCGGAGGGACCACTGGCCACCCGGATTGTTCCTACTGACATGAACGACCAAAACCTAGAGGAGCCATCCAGATATGTAAGGGCAACATTCTCCTTTTACTTCTGTGAAAAGAGTTCTACCCCTAAAATCTGTTGGCATATGTATTAGAACATTGATAAAATAGGAATGTTTCTAAGAAGAAAGTGGTTTCTTTAGGGTGAGGGATATAATAACTTTGTTGAGAAAGAATGAACAGTATCACTTATTTTCAAATTACCTCCTTTCTTTTCTACATAAAACATATAATTCAATATATTTTCTAAGCTGGGCTGGAATTTTTCTTATGTTGAATTTGAATCATCATTTTGAAACACATTCTGAAACTCTTTTCATTCCTTTGCCCATTAAAATACTTGTTGGGGAACTTCCAAGTTATCTGTAGACCTTTGGCCTAACTGTTAGTATAGTCTGGTTTTAGCAAACTTACAGTCAGGGTAGGCTATTTCCACTGCTCGCCTGTGGAGCAGCATCTCTCAGGACTGTGCTCTTCTACCCACTTGTCTTTACTCATGCCGAGATTCCGTGCTGACTTTATTTCAGTTTCTTTGCAAGATGACGCCGTTTGGTACCAGTAAAATCCTTCATTGTGGAAAAGGTCAGAGCAATAAAGATAGTGCTCCCATTTAGTGGAATAGGAAAAGGTTATTTTATAGAGTTACTAGAAAGCACATTTTTGGGGCAACATTTAACAATTTAAATGTCAAATACATTTTGTTTAGGTTTTTTATGTTATATACTTGAAATGTGAAATACCAGGTCCTAGTTCCCTTGTGAAGCAAACCAGCAGCCACATCTGATCTTTTGTCTCCCAGAGTGGGGCTGGTTAGACTTTCATGGAGACCCTCAGGACTTACGAGTGAGATTCTTATTATGTGAGCTTTCGCTATAAGCTATGAAAATGGACATCATAAGACACAAACTTGTTCTGACCCCCTGAGAAGGTAAGATATGTATTCCACTAAATGGTTTATATTAGAGCTTCCTTCTACCTTAAGCCTCTGTTTCCTATAGCAATGAAAGTACCCCTGGGCAGGGTAAACTGTTATTGGTCATTTTTATTTTAGCTGAGATACCCTCCTGAGAGCAGGCTTTGATGTACAGGGGATCACATCACTGTGGGGACACTGGATAGTTAAAAGTGGGAGAGTACACTATGATGGGGAAGATATAATTTGAGTGATGTTGTAAGAGCTGTGTTTTAGGAAGAAGTAGCATGGGGTAGTCAAAAAAGAACATGGGCTTTGGAGTTAAGTAGGCCTGAGTTCAAATCCTAGTTCTGTTGCTTATCTCTGTGATCTTTGGCAAATTAGTTAACTTCTCTGTTTAACTAATTTCAGTTTCTGTCTGGAAAATGGGAATAATGATACTTACTTTAAAAGATTATTATGAGATTAGATATATTTCTCTGTCATATTTAACATAGCGTTTGGTACATAGATTTTCCCACAAATGTTCTTAATTAGATAATGGCTTATGAGATGGATTAGTGGTAAAAGAACAACTTAAGAGGATTTATAATCTCCCTGAATCTCTCTCTTTCCTTATGTTTATTGTTCCCAAACCTGGTTTTAATTTCTGTCCATTCGTACTCCTCATTGCCTTTTCTATTCCAATGACTTTGCTTATCTGGATGACTACACTTGTCTTCCTTCTGATACTATCAACACTCTCTTCTCTGAAACCTTGCCCAACTATAAGTCCATAGTGAGCAGTCCTTTGTACATGCCTTAACTATTTATCTGTACAGCTCATTTAGCCATTTAATTTTGTTGTCTTATTTAAATGTTTCTGATATGATGTCATCTTTCCCCATCAGGTTGTAAATGCTATAAAGAGAATGACTGCATCTTATTTCTTTTGTATTCACCACAGCATCCAGGATAGTGCTGTGTATCTTAGTACTTAGCCTGTACATTCTTCCTTGCTTGAGAAGTGAATGTTGATCATTGCTGGGTTAGTGATGTTGAGAGAAAGCTGACTATAAAATCTACAGTGGCCTTTGTATATTTCTTAGTCTGCGGGCACTGGCTGTCTCTGTTTAGATCTTATTTCGATATAATCTGCTACTGTACATGGTTAAATTTGGTTAAGAAGCTCTATATTAGCTATACCCAAAAGGTGAAGATTTTTTAGAATTTTTATAGGAGTCACCAAAATGCTGGCTGATAAAAGCAGGGACAAACAAGCCAGATAAAGCTGTTGAGTGTACAGTGGCTATCATTGTGTTCATCTGCCTTCCTGTGGTTGCGAGTGTTCCTGCAGAGTTCTCTTTGGATTTTCCTGCAGGTGGAGGAAGTGCCCTCCAGATCCATTCCATTCACCTTTGACCTTTTGGAAAGTAGAAGGGATATTTGATGGCTTACTGTGAATTCTACATGTACTATGATCAGGGATTTGTTTTAGTTAACTGTTTAAAAAGATATTTGTTGCCCTGGCCGGTGTGGCTCACTTGGTTGGGCCTGATCCCATTCACCGAAAGGTTGCGGGTTTGAGTCCTGGTCAGAGCACATGGCTGGGTTGTGGGCTTGATCCCTGGTAGGGGGAGTGCAGGAGGCATCCAATCGATGTTTCACTCTCACATCGATGTTTCTCTCTTTCCCTCTCCCTCTGTCTCTCAAAAAAAAAAAAATCAATAAAAATATTTTAAAAAACACAAATAAAAAGATATTTGTTTTCCTCTGATGATAAAGGTAATATACATTTATTGTATAAAATAATGGAAGCTATCAGCAAGAAAAGCATTCACCTATAATCTCATTAAATAAATGTTAAACCACTGTTTGCATTTTAATTTTTTTCTTATACTTTTTTCTCTTGCGTACATGTATAACATATTTGTATGTAAACAAAAATCTCAATTATTTTTAAAAGTAGTGCTGTAGTTTTTAAGAAATGGTGCCAGGATCAAGACTGTAATGGCTAAATAATTTGGCCCAGTGCAGAGGAGGCCATGCTGTATACATTTATGTTTGTTACTTCTGGTATTAGTCCTGGTTTTTAAGTCTGGGTTCTTTCAGAAAGGCAAAATAATTATGTTATCTGTCTTTCCTGAGCATGCTAAATAGCAACATTATTTTTGTCTGCCTTTTGTCTCTGAGTGACAGGTTTTAGCCAGCCCTTCAGTGCTAAGTGATTTGAGTCTGTCTCCTGTTTCTAGTCTGCATGGAAACTAGTAAACATGGGTGACTTTATTTCACTCGCCTCCTTTACCTCTGAGTTTACCAAGTATTAGGAGTGTTTGTAAAGGTTCTGTGTTTTTTTTTCTGTTGTTATAACTATATTGCAGAAATACTTTTGCTTTATATTCTTTCATAACAGGTACTGAGTAGCTATTGAACATTCCATTATTGAGCAGGTGACAGTTTTATACTGGTACATGTAAAAATTTTCTGCCAGAATCAAGGTCTGAATTTAGAAGGTACATTTAATTCACCTTGAAAAAGACCTCAAGTTTGCTCGTGAAAGTGGCATTGGAAGAGTTGCAGCTTGTGAACTTGTGAAAGGGTTTTCTGAAATATGACAGAAAGTTATATTACCAAATATGATGGGTGTGGCTCTTAACACATAGTGAGCTGAAGAAACTGGGAGGTCTTTGAGTTGTGTTTGCTTGCACTTTGCATTTTCTCATGCTGAAGGTTCAGCTGGGTGCAGTTGTCTGGATTCACTCGGTTTTCCTTGATAAAATGACAGATAAGCAAATGCATAAATTGAATTATTCTCACATTGTTCCCTAATATGGCATTAGAACACATTTGCGCCTTCAAAACAAGTATTACAGCAGAACTGACTGTATATTCAGTCAAAGCATTCCGTATCTTGATCTTCTTTGTCCCTGCTTTTACCATTTAATCAGTGGAAAGAATTATGGACTTGGAAGGGGACTTAAGATATCGTAAAGTCTATGATCGAAGAAATTGAGGCTCAGAGAGGTTGTAACATGACAAAGATTAATCCTAGGACAAGAAGCTTGGTTTCAGGATTCCCCAATATTCTTTTCACACCTCCTCTGACTTCAAGGCCACTTACAGTTTATACCATAAGTGCTAAGTGATGTGGGTCTGTCTCCTGCTTCTAGTCTGCATGGAAACTATAGTAAACATGGGTGACCACCTGAACATTACTTTTTTAAAAAGTTTCTTTCCATTTCTAGAGCTCTGTTATATATATGCCAGGTACGATATACATAGTAATTATTGTGTTTATCAATTAATAGAAATGATCAGGTCCACTCTCTTTTCTTTTTCTCTTTTAATCCTTCTACCCTTTTTAGAAGTCCTTATTGGAGGAGAAAATAAATTGCTCTGTAGACAGTTCTACTAATTGTTATCAGCCTCGAGTATCAAAGAAAGCAGATTCCAATTGCTATAATATGTGCAGTAGAATAAGATTGGAATTCACTAAGAATTTAAGTGAATGCTGTTCAAAATGCTTCTTTGAGATTAATTCCCTAGTGTCCATTGGGTTGGCATTTAGAAGTTAAATGATGTTTCCATGATCTTCCACTGAATGACCAAAAAATTTTACCCATGAGTTTACAGTTACAGTGCTATAAATTTTTACTTGTGAATTTAAAGATTCAGTTGATAAATATCTATTTAGCAAGGCTAAATGGGAGATAATAAAACTGTAAGACAGTCTGTGCTACTTTTTAAAATTTAATTGGATTATATAAAAAAATGAAAAGCCGAAAAATACTTGAAATCTTCCCTATCAGATGTTTCCTTCTAGGCCCAAGTGTTCCTATTTCAAAAAAGGAAGTATTGCCTGGCTGGCATGGCTCAGTGGTTGAGCATCGACCTATGATCCAGGATATCACGGTTTGATTCCCGGTCAGGACACTTGTCCGGGTTGAGGGCTCGATCCCCAGTGGGGGGCGTGCAGGAGGCAGCCGATCAGTGACTCTCACCATTGATGTTTCTATCTCTCTTTCCCTCTCCCTTCCTCTCTCTGAAATCAATGAAGGTATATATATATATTTATTTTTAAAAAGAAAGTATCACAGGAGAATATGATGGCTAGAAAAATGATGTAGTGGC